CCCCCTCACCTTATATAAAAAAAAAAAAAAGCAATGCTTTATCAACAAATTCGTACCATGACCAGGATTCTTATTTGGAAACTTAAATAAGCCGCCAAGTTCAAGTTTTTGGTTTTTTCACGATAAACGGACATAGAAACATGCGGATACAATATCTCCCGAGAAAGCTTTTCGGTAAGCCTTATCGTATGTATAGTTGACAATGATTTGACTTTTAAGGTAAAACCAATATCTTCGCCCATTCACATCATTCTTGTCACCGTTTGTCTACGTGTTTTATATATATATATATATTATATATATATGATATATATACATACTTTATCTTTTAATTGTTGACATAATTGTAAACCGGCAGTTAAAAATAATAACACTTCGTTAAGCCAATTAACGGACGCTTCAGCTTGACACGAATCGAAACGCATAGTTCCTTGTATGTTAGTCAATTGGTAAACAGCAATAATGAGCTTGTGACTCTGTAAATAAAAACTGACGGCCAAGTCTTCGGATAAATTTGGCGCAAGACATTTCTGAAAAAAGGTACATGTAATAAAATAATAAAAAAAAAAAAAATTAAATTAAAAAAATAATAAGGTAATCACATTTACCATGTTACGACCTTTAATAAGTTCATCAATGGGTTTCTTTTTAGGTATAATCAAGCTCAGACGACCTCGCTGTAAAGCTTCCAATATATTACCAATCACGTGTAAAACTTCGTCTGATGTTCTTCTTATGCAAAACAAAACAAAATAGACAAAAAACGACAAAATCTTAAATTCATATGAATGGACTCAAAATGCAGACTTACTTGAAATGATATGAATCATCAACGTCATCAATATGATTAATAGCCTGTTGTAAATGATTAGCAGCATCTTGCACTTGTTGCAACTTCCACGGCGAGTCTTGCGTAATTGAAGTACGTTGTATCTGGTATGGCGGCTTGGATAATTTAAAACTAATATCCTAATGGAATCATGAAACACTGTGTATTTAATTAATACAGAAACTATATACGTACTGCCTGCGTAATTGTATCACCGGTTAGAGTCAAAATGGCTTTTAATTGTTCAGGTGGAGATACAGAAAGTATAAATTTTTCAGTCTTTTTACCTTCATTTTCGTACAAAGGTACAGGAAATCGATGAGCACATTCCTAGAATTTAAAACAATTTCGTTTAGCTTTGTAATCTTATAAGATAATGAACGATTTAAGAATAAATCGCATTCACTTACTATTAAAACAACTTTCAATTTCTTTAATAGCTGATGCACCTCTTCTTTGAGCACCCATTCGAACTCCATTTGCTATAAATGAAAAGAAATTAATTATAAATATTAGATAAACCGCAAAGACATTATTATTTACCAAATTTTTCGCTTCTTGTTTCTCTGCATCCATTTTATTCAATTCGCTAGTGTTTGTTCCAGGATTCGTGTTTGTATTGTAATTGTTACTGTTGTTGTCATCGCTCTGATTGTCATTTTCAGCTGTTAAAATAATTTCTGGAACAGGCGGTAGGGGGCGCTGACCATGACGATTTGTATATAAGCTTTAAGTGGAAAAGTGAAATTTTTTGTACACAAAACTGCAATTTTTGTTTTTAGTGAACGCGGAACAATTACATATAATTTTTTTTTTTTTTTTTGGAAACAACAGAGTTTTTATAAAGTTAATTAGTTCACTTGCATCGTATGGAGTTTTCAGCAAAGAAAGGTCAGCTTGTTTACTTAACAAACTTAATTGAATCGAACTGTGAGCGACCACGAATAGTACTAATGTAAAAAATGTTCAATTTTAAAATCATAAATTCCATAGAAAATTTTTTTGTATTTTTAATCGATATTTTGATCGTGATATATTTAAAACGATATCGTTATCTGTATAGTCTATGGCGTCTCTACGTCACAAACATCTCAAAATTATTTTCTCCCATAGCGATTCCAACGCACGAAGAACCCTTAACGCATATATATAAACTAGGATCTACAGTGTTACAGGCAAACATTAGCATCGAAGGATAATCCTATGGTGAATTCCATCATTTGCTTAATTATCGTATTGCTTATCGATTTGCCATCGAAAGAAAGGATAAATCGATAATATTTAAATCGATAAATAATAAATAATTCGAGCATTTTTTCATCGCTTCTGAAATAAATAATGGAAAATTACAGAGGCAGTGTTTATAGTTTATAGAATTTAAAATTTACTTTTTCGTATTTGGAATATATATGAATGCATCTTTAATGCCTAACGAACAAATGAAGAAATTATCAGATTTATTGAATGAACAATTTGGCTCTTGATATATGAAAAATCAGTTCAATCTAAAGGCAAAAGGCAAAAAAAAAGAAGAAATTTTCACTTTTATTTTACTTATTTGAATGATAATGTCTTGCGTTCAACGTTTGGAAATTAGGTTAAAACGCCCGAATGCAATTTTCGAAACTTGGCTGGAGAATTGGTTGCGAGAAGCAGAAAGACGTAACAGCAAATCTAGATATAAACTTCGAGAAGCTTTGAACGCTTTGAAAATGTACCCACTCCCATTAGCTTCGGGTCGTGAATGTGGCATTTTGCGCGGTTTTGGACCTGCTTTATGCAAATTAATTGATAATGAAATGCGTAGAGAACAGCATAAAGCTCAAGCGATCGTAGCCAACAATAGCAGGTATCAAAACGAAATCCAGAATGTTGTTGAATCGGTTAAAAAGAATAAACGCAACCAAAAAGATAAGCAAACAAAACTGACGAAAAAGGAACGAAAAGCTCTAGAAGAAAAACAATGGCGCTCGAAAGAAGTAATTATGCAACCGGGAACATTTCGTATAAAATTAATAGTGGATACTCAAGAAACTAGTGGTAAACATAAGCGATTACTGGATCAAACACGTAGCTATTTAGAATGCTTAAAAGTTGATTATGAAATTCGACGTTTAACAGTGGGCGACTTTTTGTGGATAGCTTGCGACCAAGAAGGGAACGAATTAGTGCTACCGTATATAGTTGAACGCAAACGTATGGACGATTTATCATCAAGCATAAGAGATGGTCGTTTTCATGAACAGAAACACCGCCTAAATCAATGTGATATTCCAAATGTGATATACCTTATAGAAGATTATGGCGAGAATGAACATTTGGGCTTGCCTATAGAAAATTTACAGCAAGCTTTAATAAACACTTTAATACACAATAGGTTCTCTGTGGCGCACACTGAGAATCACTCGCGTTCAATCGCTTATCTACAAGGTTTAACGCAAATATTGATACGCATCTATAAAGACAAAGTTCTCAAAAGTTGTGCGAACGTTGATATGGCCCGTGTCAGCCAGTCCAGCGACGCTGAGGTGTCATTGCGTAAATTTAAAAGCCTTAATGAAGATTCAGCGCGTAATGCTCAGTTGACTGTGAAAGAACTATTCATATTGCAATTATTGCAATTGCATTCGTTGTCTCTAGAAAAATCTTTAGCCATTACGAAAATTTATCCAACGCCGCGTTTTCTTGTAGAAGCCTATAAGGCATGCAAAAGTTTACAGGATGCTCGTCAACTTTTAGCTAATATAAGATTTGGTCAATTGCAGAGACCCGTAGGCAGTAAGATTAGTCAAAGTTTGCATGATTTTTATACAAATGAATTTTAACTATCATTGTGAAAAGATTTAAAATTTTATTAGTCGCTCTGTTTTCTTCCTCTATGCACTTGTATATTTATTATATATTATTTATTATATTAGTCTGTTGTTATTATGTTAAGAAACTAAATAAGTTTTTCTCGTTAATGCGCTCATCATTTAAACGTTTTTATAACAGGCTAACACTATTGTCATAAGCATTTAATAAAGCAAATAAAACTAGTAAGCAATAAAAAGCCAAAGCTTTTCTTGCCGTAATTCGTTTTCAAACCCATACTATAGCACATGTAATAGATTTCATAAAAAAATTTGAGTCACTTCTTTTAATTAAAAATTTTATTTAATTAGTGTAAGTTCGCTCACCTGTTGGTTTGTCGCATTTTTCCTTTTTTTCTACGTTTTATTAAAAATCTCTATTAGACTTATTATATATTATATAGTATACGAAAAAGTGAAAATAAAACGACAAAAATAATATACGCACTGTCTCTTTTTTATGAATTTCATTAACCGATCTTTTCGATTGAAGCGTTGAAGGCAACTAAACATCGCCATAAGCTTTTAACACTAGTTAACTCTTTCAATTAAAACGACGATTATGATGATAATAATGATAATATCGAGTTATAGTTAATTATTAATGCCCAGACAAAAACTTGGCTAATTTCCATACCAAATACAAACTTGGAAAAGCTAACAAGAAAGAAAAGGGTGACAGAGCAGTTCATTTATCACTATGAGTAGTTGTTTAACATTGATAGCGAAATACACTAAGGCAAACAAACCCGGTCATATTACCATATGCGTATGCAACGTATGTACGTATGTACGTTTGCATGCACACAAAAGCTTGTCGTTCAAACGGAAAATCGTTAACTGTCAACGTTGTCGTCAGCAAGGCAACAGGTAGCAGCAGTTGATCTTCATTCACACGAAAGAGGAATGATTTGACATAATATAGGATCAACGGATGGTGCTTTTAGGTGGGTGGGCAAGTTAAGAATACAATGCGACAAAATACAAAACGTACATAAATAATACAATTTACTGAATATTTTAATTTATTAAATTCTTTTTGCTTGCTTTTACACTATTAAGACGCCAATTAACGTCTACGGGAAACATAACAAGTTATAGAGAGAGAGAGAGAGAGATAGAGAAAAAGAGCTGTGATTCCTTTTGCGAATAAGTGAAAAATGTTCGTTTTTTTTCTTTTTTTTTTTTTATTAAGTAAAAAAGGAAATACTAGCCATTTAAAATTTTAATGCCTCAAATCGGGTCAGATTATTCGCCCGTCATCATTTCCATGAATTCTGTAATTGAAGAAAAGAAAAAAAAAAAAAAGTGCTAAAAATATTGAACTAATGTGATCGCTGCTGTCACAGATGAGATATATGTTGAAATAAATAAATAAAAAAAAAAAAAAAATGAGAGAATGAGAAATTTACATTTAGCACTCGGCACACATATTCGAACGATGGAATACATGCATGATTACGCATATGCAAAATAAAAATATTTTTGTATAATGGGCGATTTATAAAGCCAATCGTTATGGTCGGCCGAGCAAAATCAAAGCAACAAGTTTAACAATCGAGTGCCTCCGAGTGGGTGTAAGCAATTAGTCGGTGTAGATGTATGTTGTTTTGGTGTTAATAAATGGAATGATTTCATTCATTTTTCTTTTCGCTTGTGTTTCATATCCAATTTCTTTTTCGTACCGTCAAAATCTACTGTACCGGAACCATCCGAATCGATTTCTTCAATCATAATATCAAGTTCTTGTTCAGTTAACTGATCATCCAATTCTTTGAGGATCTCTTTTAAGCAGGTTGTCGGTATAAAGCCATTACCCTGCTTATCGTATAAACGGAAAGCTTCACGTAACTCTTTTTGCATAGCCTCAGAATCTTCTTCCACAATAAATTTTGCCGCCAATTGTACAAACTCTTCAAATTCTAAACGTCCGGATTCTAAACGAAGAAAACCATTAATAGCTTAAAAGAAAAAAAGAACAAATTAAGTAAATTTTGCACTCACTGTCTTCATCCACTTCTTCGATAAGCTCTTCTAAAATTTTTTTGTCAAATGGTTGACCCATCAGGCGGAGAATATCGGCAACCATTTCGGTAGGTATACTTCCCGTCTTTTGATGATCAAAACTGTTGAATGCTTTTTGCAAAACTAAAGGATAGACGCAAGAAGCAGGACTTTCTTATTATATTGACACAAACAAATTTGCATGCAATTTTCTTCTTTTTTTTTTTTTTCCAATTACATATCAAATAGCAACATTTTTATGATCCATCTTGAATATATTGCAAGATCTCTTTCCAAATCTTTCGCGGCATAATAAAATGAAAACAAAAAAAAACATTTTTACTTTTGTTTTTGAAATTTCTTTTGTAATGCGTCGAAAATACGCATTGGTGACTTCTTTATAAACATTTATGACCAACGTGAATTTCTGTATTCATACGTTTGGCGGACAAATTTTTTATTTATTTATTTTTATTTTTTTCACTTATTCAAGATCCATCGACAGTTGTACGAGGACCAGAATTACTTTAAAGTAAATTGTAGATTATAAAATCTTCGAGACTGTTATCTATGACTTACCAGCGATTTGCTCAGGAGTCAGATCTTCATCCTATAAAAAATGATTTCATATAAAAGGATAAATTGATCTTCTCTAATCGTATCAAAAATGAGGCAATAATTGCTTACAATTGAGCTCATGTTGTTAAAATTTGCTTGTACCCTTGGCGAAAAAAGAAATCTGAAAAAATCGAATTTCTTCAGATGATCGTCCTTAATGTTCAGTGATTTTTCTCCGACTGCTTATTCGATTTAAACATTTCCAAAATAACGACAAATTGGCAAACGTTTTTAAAAGATATATGTTTACTTGTGTGTACATGCATGCGTATATACATCCATATATATATTATGCATATATATATATATATATATACACCCGCGCGCGCAGATACATATATACACCTTTATACACACACATACACACATGTATATATATATATATATATATATATATATATATATATATTATTAAGCACAAAAAACAGCCACCAACATCTTAACATCAAGCGATTAACTTGCAAAATTTCCAATAAACACTTTTATCTATTTATCTATCTGTACATACATGCGTATATACAATGTACATGTAGCTGTACACAAATATAATGCAACAGTGCCAGTACTGACTGCCGGACTATCATCCATAGCCGTGTTCCATTTTTGTTTTTATTGTTTTTAGAAACACACTGTAAAAACTCACAAAATGCTGCATGCAATCTATAGTGGTTTGCAAATGTTTATTTTATATAATTGTGAGCGTGGATGTGCGCTTGTATGCGTGTGGGCTTTTGTTTATGTACTATATTCTCCTCCTTCTCCATTCATTCAATACATATGGTCGATCTCAACTGCTTAACTGTGGCTACGGCCAGATGTCGAGAGCAGACAGTGGAGAGCCCGTATTCGTAACGCAAGGCATTGAACACATTCTATATTTCACAGTAAGAATCGAACGACATAGATTTTATTGCATTTTTTTTATTTTTTTTTTATGTATATTTTTGAAAATGAATTCGAAAATAACTTGTAATTATTATGAATACATTTCATTTAGCTGCTTGCTAATCATATATGGCGTAAATATATATATATATATATATATACATATATATATCTAATGAGAGTACAACAAAGTTTTATTAACTGGAAAGTTTCCATCAGCAGTTCCAATACTATCGCTGCATATGCAAAATTTTTTAGCTATAACATCGTTCACGCATTGCGAGTCTTTAGCATAGCTATTTAAACGACTTATGGTCTCGATATTAATTTCGGTCCCCTTAGTTTCATAATTCAGATGATAGCTGGCATCGAACTTAGCATCGCTTGGATAAACGGTAAAAGTGATACGATATGTCGTCCTTTTATAATCAGTATGATTTACACTCTTTATATTCATTTTTATATTTGCCGCCTCTACGGTTTTCAAGGTCAGTTCTCTACATAAATTGGTAAAATTTTTTAACTTTAGAAATGTGTTTATGTGATGAATTAGCGTTTCAGAGATTTCACGAACTTGATAAGATTTCGTATCAACGCTATAAAATGGAGTACAGGTACACCAATAATCTTCTATTCCGGCTTGAGAACATGAACGATCTACAGGAATCGATTTTAAAAGAGATTGACAGGTGACGCAGCCTTGAGGCGCCGGCATTTTCTGCAACGTAGAAAAACCCTTTCCTTGCGCTAGAACACTTAAATGTTTTAACGTAGCATGAAAATCGTAGGGACTGGTTAAACGATGCTTATTCTGTTTTAAGGCAGCACCGGCCTCCGGGTAACATTTCTTAAACCATTTCGGTAGCCATATAAAGAACATAGGTAAACGTTCTTCAATAAAGCCACTCTTACGATTACGTAAATAGCCCCAACGACTGCCGTGATCGCTAAAGAATACCACCACATTATGTTCTAATATACGTTTGGTATGAAGCTCTTGCAAATAGCCGAGTATTCGTTCTTCGATTGCTAATGGACCACGCCAGCTATTATGACTAACGCTATTAATCCAGAAAAGACCAAATATAGTTTTGCCCAGATAGCGTTCAGCAAATTCCAGGCCAAAATCGTAAATGTATTCGGCATATCGCTTATGGCCTACACAAAAACGGCTACCATAACGTTTCAGATACATTAATCTATCTTCCATGGCTAAGAGTAAGGGACGTTGATAATAATCTGTGGGCTCATGGCGAAATCCAGCCTTGCCAAAATTAAATGTATTTATATCGCATTCGTCTTCGGCAAAGGCGGTTGTAAATCCTTGTTGCCGAAGCGTTTTAAATAGCGTTGAGCAGTTACTTAAGCCCCAGGACAAGTGGGGTTGGCAAACTTTTTGAGTATCGGTTAAATTGAAGCCCGTCAGTATGGCCATTAGGTTTGGAAAAGTATTATCACCTATCTGGAAATAGAAGAGATAATCCAGGCAATTTCGATTTCAATGTCGCGCGTAACGCACACCTTATTGTAACCAGACAACTCATACCAATTATGAGTTTCCATGTACCTAACTACCTTTGGCATAGCACGTCTTGCATTAAATTGCGAAACAGAATCTATCCCGAAAAGTAAGATACCAAATTTTCTGGTCGAATTTTTTACATTCATACGAGAATATTTCGATCTGTCTTCACGATTGTATATAAAGAATAAACCCTCCTGATATACTAATGAATTATAAGACGATTTCCGGCACTCGACTAGCATATACTTAATATTCATAGGTACGATAAAATTCTGTTGAAAATTCTTACATCTTAGATATCTGCAGATAGCAGATGTTTTATGAATTTTGAAACGATTCGATTTCATGCAAATTATACCTGATTTTGTTTTCAGTGACGCGTATGATTTGCGAATAACAGCATTTTAATGTGTCGCTTGTCGCGCCATAAGCGTTTGTCAAGTTAAAATTGATATATAAAATATATTGTTCATTCGCTGCATCGTATCGCTTTACAACCAAGGGCTTTTTGTTGGAACAAATCGGCGACTCCTCCGCCTCCAATTGCTCTAAGATATATTTGTCATAAACACTAATAGTGGGTATATGGCAGCTATTGCTCCAGACAAGATAGTTATTTACAACCACTTCGAAATTGCGCCTATACGCAAGTTGCAAGATGGTAAAGTTCAGATACAATTCTTTGTAACGGATTGTTATCAAAAAAATTATTATGATGATAATTTTCTTTCGTATATTATTGGCCCACATAGAGCTAAATGAAAGGAAATACGCAAGTGTAAATATAACTTTTAAATAGGGTCGTGTTTGCTTTTAAAAAGATTGGCATTTTTGAAGACATGTCATGCCACTGTTGCTAAGATTCCGATTGACGTGTAAATTTCTCCTTTAACCCCTTCTCGATTACACAAGTAAGAATCGCCACTACGAAGTCTGTGTTCGATAGTTCACATCACATATGCGGTAGATTTTTACAGATATTTAAGCAGAAAAGCTCTCCTACACTTCTTATTAGAGTGGTTTCTTAAAAATAAATACTAACTGCTCTGTTCGAATATATTATGTATAATGCATTTAATTCTTTTTTTGCACGTTAGCTGCGTTGTTTAGAATTTCGTGCAAAAAAATCGTGTAAAAAAGTGAATGTGAGATATAGTAAATTTTGGGAATATGTTCCACAACATTAAAAAATCGTATAAGATGAGAACACTCCAAATATTTTCCGGAAAAACCGTGCAAAAAAAGTAATAATGAAATCTTTATAACATATTTATAAAACAAAAGTCACATTTTTTATTAGAAAAAAACGAGTTGAAATTGAAATTAAGAATAAAAAGCAATTTCCCGATTATTCATCACCACTTGATAACAAGCGTGCACGTTGTTACGAACTGGATCGAAAATGCTATCATCAGCAGATACGTCAGGTATGTCTAGCACAATTGTCGGATTTGGTTCAAATGAAGAATTTTCATCGTTATTAAGTCCGCTGTTTCTGTTTTTCCTTTTTTATTTCTTAAGTTGCGTATATAATTCTTGAAAAAAAAAAAAAATTGGTTTAGAATTCGTGTTGGAAAAAATTCGTGCATAGAAATATATTGGTGAACCGTGTTATTTCAAAATCGTGTGAAAAAAAAATTGCATGTATATCACCAACAAAGTGTCGTCTGTGTTAACTATATAGCAGATGCTGTCATTGCCGTTTGTTTTTTAAGATCTTAGAGAAAAAATTTCGTATTCTCCGTCGGATAATGTGATTAATTTATGATACACTCTTACGAATTCTTTGAAAAATTCTTCTTCGAATTATTTTTATTTACGAATGTTGAATGATTTAAAAACAGGGTTTGCAAGCAGTGGTACCTTATGGCCGTAGAAGATACGATAGTTAGTATACTAAAATAAAACAAACGTATATAATTATTTAGACCCATCCATCTGAGTAGACGAGTAGGCAAAGAGTCTCGACTAGCAAGCTCAATGGTCGTGGGTTCAAAACTCAAGTGCGGTAGAGTTTTTAATAAAAGCCGAAAGCCTTAGATGCTAGTGCATTAAGACTTTAGTCTTAGAATTTATTCTCTGGCTAAATTTATAATAATAATAATAATAATAATATTTAGACCCATCCGCTTGAGTGGTCGAGTAGGCACGAATCTCGACTAGCAAGCTCAATGGTCGTGGGTTCAAAACTCAAGTGCGGTAGAGTTTTTAATAAAAGCCGAAAGCCATAGATGCTAGTGCATTAAGACTTAGACTTGGAATTTATTCTCTGGCCAAATTTATAATAATAATAATAATAATATTTAGACCCAAAACTTGGAAAAAGTAACGGCCAACTAAGAAGACTGCTGCGTTATCTATTACGCAATGTCCGCATTGTCACACGATAATAATCTTGGAGGTCAAGTGTATGCGGGCTCTGCTGTCGCTTCAATAATGACAGACAAGTAAGTGGCAAGTCGCAGCACTCACATGCAACGCTACTCGTTTATCCCTTAAGCAACGTTAGTTCCATGTACAAATGGCTCCAGTCTTTTTGTGCTACAATTGACGGCTAACTAGTATCTTCAATTTGTTGATTGAATGTATCGTGATCATTGCTAGTGCTGGTTACTTTATTATTGGCCATGTACCCTCCGCTTTAAGTTCGGATATATCCGCTTAAATGACCAGGTATGGCAAGAATCTCGACTAACAAATCAATGGTCGTGGGCTCGAATATGAAGTGCGGCAGAGTTTTCAATAAAACGATAAAACCAGCATCACCGATGCTAGTGCTTTCAGGCTTTAGTCTTTCACATCTATTCGTCTGGCTGAATTAAAGGTAATAACAATAATAGTAATAAGATCACATTCGCTGGTGGTCAGCTATTCAACTCGTTGTTGTCCCCGCTGTTATTGACCTGCATATTCGAAAGTCTAAGTTGCCGGCAATTTTAATTGCATTATTATTCGCACGAACGATAAAACGCTATCTTAGCTTCAACATTATTCAATTAAGTATGAAAATAAAAAAATTCGATTTGAAAAATACGATCCTACCGGTTATCAATGATCTTAGCTATATATCTTATCGTTTGAAAAATGCATAGAGGCAAAGAAGCAAAGATTTGCTGGCGGGAAAAAGGTTTGCCCACAAATTCCTACTTCCTTATGATCTCAACGGTAAGTACACATTGGTAATAATTTTTTTCACGATACAAACAGATCAGATAATTCGCGCCTTACGATTTCAGGAGATAGACATTTAAATGAAATTCCACGCGATCGAATATCTGAATTTGAACGATCTGGGTCCTTGTCTAGCTTAAATTGAAATCGTGAAATATGTGGAAAGTTCGGAAAGGCGTTCTATTCCAACCCCGGAACTGCAAGAGCGTATGCTCATTTTAATACACTGCCCTAAGCGGGTAAAAATGTTGTCTCCTCAGACATCAGTGATGGTTCATAATAACCCAAGTAACGTAACATTTCAGATTTCTTTCTAAATGCAACTTCCACGGGGAGGAAATTTTGTTGATTTTGATTTAGACATGACAAACGCTATATGAACTAATATATATAATTTAGACTTTATATGTGACCCGAAAATATATCCTTGAAATCTAAAAAAAAAATCAAAAAATATCTGGAAACTTTCGCAATGAGAACGAATATACGCTTATTTTATAAAATTCTACAATGCATGCATAAAAAATGAGAATACGCTTATTTTATAAAATTCTACAAAACAACAAATGAGAACGAATATACGCTACTTAATTGATAAAACACCCATCATATGATCAGCCACTTAATCACAAATCCTGTAATGTTTTTACAAAAGGGTTTATATATAATATATATATTCTAAATGTGAATACTGGTAGTTGTCGATATTAATATTTTTTATTGCTCATTGCAAAATTGCATTTACATTGGTAAGTATTTTCTTATTATTTCATTACATTTCATTACATTTCATTGCTAGAGAAACTAAGCCGAATCTCTATGTGGTCGCCGAATTATTTACTAACTCTGATGCTACTGACAATGTGTTTGTTAATCGTTTGGGTATCACTTCGTTAATAAGAGAAGCTTTAGCGGCCTGGGACGCATATGAACAAGGACGTTTGGTATATCGTTTTGGAGGTCTGCCTGTAGGGGCGTTTATGGTGGGTTTTAAAAATTAATTACAATATTTTTTGTTGTCAGAGTGTCCTTGAATTCACCATCCCGCGAAAATATTTTACGTTTACATCAATGGATCCACTCCATGCAGTTTCGTGAGGGAGGAGCTTTTCATGAGCTGTTCGCTAAAAACTAATGTTAATTAGCCTAGAATTAACATACTTAGCTTGTGGAATTTCGCTCTCCAAGTAAAAGACTTGAGATAAATTCGCCTCATTATTATTTAGAAAGTGATTCTGAATGAACCTACGCTCGTCTGTCCGTCTGTCCATTTGTCTGTTTTGTTGCAACTTTACATACATACTCCTTTTACTTTCAAATAGTTGGTTTGTGTAGGTGTTCTTTCGGCCCATTGTTGCTGTCAACTAACAATAAATTCCAAAAAAAATTTATAGAACATATAAACATTTTTCATTTATGAACATTTGTAATTATTATTATTATTATTATTATTATTCTTATAAGTTTGTACACTAATGAAATAAATTCTCAGATTAAAAAGAAAGCATTGAAAACGAGAAAAGAAAATTAGATAATGAGTCTAGTAGTTTTAATAAAGTAATATATTATATTGTGATATTGCGATCTGTAGCTGATATCAGGATGTCCATAGGATCAGTTGTTCCAAATGCAAGTCTTCTGAAAAAGGAAAAGTTAAGGCAGTCACAAATAAAGCGTTTTATTATGAGAATTTGTCCACAACTGCAGCCAGGAGAAGAAGACTTCTTCTAGATGCATTGAGACATTGCAACTGCATTGCAAACGCAAACTCGCGAATTTGTTTTGATCTTTATTTATATAAATGTGAAACTCATGGAGGGTTAGCAGGGTGCTGATGATTTTTTTTCCAAGATATCTTTGAAGGTCTAACTTTTCCACGATATCGTTCATAATTAAAGATGCAGACATAGCAGACGCTCGATAAGGTGGCTCATTTCCCAATAAACCTATACGAGTTAGTACCCAAAGCATTCTAGGTTTATCGCCGCAAGTTGTAGTACTAAACTAAAATCTTAAATTTATTTTATTTAAAACAAACAGACACCTAAGAGAAATTTTAAACATTTTTTCCAGAGTTTAAAAAAAACCCATATCTATGAATGAATTTTTAACTTAACAATTCCGAAACTTAACACATAATAATACTTATCATTAAAATTGGTCGTCGATCGATACTATATACTTTTGTCGACGAAGTTTGTTTATTAGGAAACATTGCAACAACGTCTGAAACTCCATCAGAAATTTCGTCTTCACCGTTAGAGTGGGACGATGTTATTCTTTAAGTATCGTTTTGAGTTTGGGAAATAGAAAAAATTCTTAAGCATCAATGTCGAAAGACTCTATAATTTTGTTAAAAATTTCACAAAATTATTAAACGTTCTGTTCAAAGTTTCAAAGCTTAACATCTGTCGAATTCGCATTTCTGCAGTGAGTTTGCTAAAAAAACGAAGAGTAGAATAATTGTATAACATGCTCTTCTTTCAATGCAATAAATATAAGAACTTTGAACTTAAGGGTATGGTATTACTTGCCTCGAAAAGAATAATATAGGTGCAAACAATGGAAAAGATTGAACATCTTTCTATGTCCATTAATTTTATTAAATATGTGTTTTTATGAGGATGTTTTTCGCTTCGCTATGCTAAACGTATAGAAATGACCGATTTTTCTGATATGTATATGTAGTGGGATGCCAGTAAACCAGTTTCGAATAACTAACTGTTGTGGCTATTAAAAAATGTTCACTTCTTTTACGGATTTACATGTATTCGGGGTATTTTCATAAAGCTGGCCGAAGTAATGGTAACCTTAATCTCAATAATTTGTAAAGAATTGTGAGCAACGAAAATGATATGAAACCGTTCAATAACTACGCTCGAATTCAATAAATAAAACATTTCGATGATCGTACAAAAAAACCTTTATTAGTAGTAGTAAACCGCTCTCTTAGCGGTCTAAGTTAACTTTGATTAAAATAGCGATCTCGCGATCCGTAATATGATGACGATTAAATATCGGTCTATCCAGTTCATCTGTGTAACGTATAGCGTAGTGTTCAAGCCATCCATAGGTTTGATTCGTCGTTATTGGGGCGGTATGTTCTTTGCGAGGATCGTATTTGCAACGCCTGGTTAATTCCTTTTCATAAATTGGGATATTCTCTTGTGCTTTTATTTCGGTATCATGGCGAGCGTAAAACTTCGGTGTAAGCGGTTTACTCCGGTAATTTGGTTGATATTTTCTTTCAATATGCGGCTTGCCACAACAAGCCATCCTAGACTCAATTAATATATGTGCAATTCCTTGCTTCTAGTAAAAAATATATAATTAATACATCTTTTTTATGAACACGGTTCGCAAAGATTGAGAATTGTAAGCAACTTTCTAAACGAAGATTGTCACGTTTGTCAAAGTCTACAGACAGAGTGTACTTAGGTGCATTGAAATTGATAGGGAAGAACCGACTGTGCGACGACTTTAAAGGGTTGAAAATAAAAATTAATTTTGACATAGTAAACTCAAATACCAGAATTGCTTTATTTTTTTTTTAATTTATTCATTTTTTTCAACTCTCTACAATTGCTAAACTAATTTAATTTTCTAAATTAAATGAATCGTATATTGCGTCATTTTGGTCCAGAAATTTAAAAGAAACATCGGCATACATAATTAAATATATTACCCTTAGTCAGATACGTTTTTGAACTAAAAAGAGAAAACCATTACTCATTTTAGGCTAAGAATTTGTTCAAATTACAACTGAAAAATTATTTTTTTAATTGGTTTAGTAGGGTCGATGTGTTTAAATTAGTTGCGAGCGTTTTCTCGCTTATGTTAGGATTATTTAAAAGAGCCGTTAATGTAGCATGCGATGAACTTAACGTGCTGGATTTGCTTTTTGATATGGTCGATGAATCTGATGAACTAATGCTTGAAGAAGCTGACGGCATAGTAGAATTATCTGCCAAATGATTACTCGCCACAGTTGTCGTTGCTGTTTGCGTCCCTTGCAGAAGGGCATTTCGCAAATGACTGTTACCTTGCATTGTATTAGTGCCTGTCATCGAATATGAATTGATAATCAAGCCCCGACTTTTAATGTTCAAATCGACAAAGAAAACTTTCATTTTTTGTATTATGAAGTCGGCCACGCTAAAGGTCATCATTAGCGATAAATCAATGTTCGGTTTACTGCGATATATTTCATGTGTTTGATACAAACGGCAGACTTCATCGTAAATTAAAAATAAAAATCGAGAATTGCGATTCTGTTGTGGTATTATTTGCTGAGATACCAACCAATCGCGATCTTCATGATCTGGTAAGTAACGTATTAGTTCAGGATGCTTGCTAGCCAAACGCTCCTTGCCGTCTGTGCCGAAGCCGAATGCTTGATTAGCTTGAACGTCTAAAACAAATTTGGTGGTGGTTGATATGTGTGCCGTATTCCAGAATATTTGCCTTCTGGTTGGCTGAGACATTGGCATCAGTTTTTGTTGTTGTACGATACCATTAGAATTTGATTGTTGTTGATTATTGGAGTTGGAATTCTGTACAGCGCTGATCTGTGATGTAGATGGTACAATATTGGTTATTTGTTGTTGTAGCTGTTGTATTATCATCTCATCAGGAAAAAATCTTTTCTGCATTTCAATAACGGCAACAGCAGGTTTCGTAGGCGCAGGTCGTTTAGTCGCTATACGCAAATTATTGTTGTCATAAGGTAATAACTGTGGACTTACAGTCGCTAATGCATTCTGCGGTTTAAATCGATAGATTTTGTACTGAGATTTCGCATTTTCCAACAAAGCGCACGACATTTTCTGAAACTATATAATTAAAATAATTAACGCATTCGAAATTATTGAACAAACAAAAAACTCATCCGAATATGATCTAATTTGATTCTTACCAGTTAAAATATACAAAAATACTATATACAATAAATAGAATACAAACGCACATAGATTCAACGTGATACTTACTGCATCTTCAGATACTGAACCTTGACCTAAATTCTCCTTGATATTCTTATAAGCTGGTTTAAAATAATTCTAAAAGAACATGTAAAATCCCTTTATATATATGTCGGCAATAAATTCACGATAAATCTGAACGGACCTCTACAAATTTTTTAATTAACTCGTCAATTTCCTTATCAAAAGAACTTTGTACTGCTATACGCACCAATTCCAGCGAGCGCATAGCAGACTCAGCTGCAGTGCTATTAGAACTGCTGCAGTTGTACCGTTGCCGTAATTTTTGCAGCGTAGTCTCGGCCATTTGAGGGGTTGTTACAAATTTCTTAATAAAATTCGAAATTGTATTTAGTTGCAAAGTTAGTAAAACTTGGAAAATTTTACCATTGTATCAGCTATTGAGCAAGTTGAAGTGATGGCTACAGAGGGAACATCGGCTTTTGTGCAGGTAGCTGCAGGACTAGCTACGCTTGTAACCATTGAATGAGTTGTCTGATTTGAACAATTGGAATCATCGGACGAGGAATTTAGTCCTGTAGGAGATCGATTAGCTTCTGTCGACGAAGCTGAGGTAGAACCGCTTTCGCTTAGAATTTTCCAACTTCTTTGAATAACCATTTCCAATATAAAATTGAATTTTTAGAAAACAAAACAAATTTCATATATTTTTTGTCAACTTATATTCGATAATATTAAGGTTTTCTTCTCAAGTGTTTGTATCCTTAAGAAATGTGTGTAATGCGCAAGTCTTAACATAATTTTGTTTACGTTTCTTTACTCCCAAAGCAAATATGCAGAGCATACACTCACTGGTTAAAATTATAACAATCGTTCTCGTCCTTATTGCCTAACGTTATTATATATACGTTTAGTTTGCATTATCTCACGTAATACATTGTCATCTCCCTCTATTACATTCTGCTCTTGTTCATCTTCAATCTCCATTTGGCAATTTGTTTTCTCCAAATTTTTTGTATATAAGTTGTAGCCACGTTTTTGCGCCATTTCTTCGTCGAACTCATCCATGTATATAAGAGGATTTGCATAATTGTTAGGTCTCGCGTATTCATTGCTCACACAGATTTCTAAAATATCGGGCACCATAAAAGCAAACAACCAACAAACGAGCGGTGTTGTTCCGCATGTGTAGCTAGCTTCTTTATGATAAAATAGAAAACCATCTAATTCTGGTTTATTACCCGACCAAATAGGATAAGTCTGCAGTACCGTGGCAATCCTTTCATCATGTGCCATATCGTATCGTTTTAACAAACAAAGCGATTTATTATTCACGGTTCGCTTCCCGAAATTGCGCTCGTTTTCTTCAAATTTAGATCGGAGCCAAAAAAACCGAAACTGCGCGTCACAGTTTAGCATACTCTGATAACCATAGCATATGACGTCCAAAACATAGAAAACATCCAGTTCTTTACAGAATACACAATCTAGTATAGTAGACGACTTGCGAGCATCTGTGCCGTCGCCTGGTAATTCACTATGAAATTGTAAACAAAAACGACCAGATTTACTATACATTTTGGTTTTGCCATCACTAGCTGCAACAAAACACCGTTGGCCACGCGGACAAGGCACTAAAAACCAATCACTAAGATCGCTTGGTTTTTCTCTCATCCACTCTGACAATTGCAATTTTATTTCACTTCCATATACATCCTGAAATTTAGGGCACTTATGTTGTTTTACTTTGTGTATTTGCATTTGCAAGTTACGTCCTTCGTCATGTTGCTCCAAGCGACGACATTTTTGCTCATTTAGTAATTGAAGACGGCGAATTTCTTGCCGATCTTCTTTCTTAAAATTCTTTTTATAAAATTCCATTGCAAAAAAAAATAGCGAAATGCCTTTGCATGGTTTTTCCTTCTCTTTTCAGATATGGATATAAAACAACGTTTTACAATAACAATGTCCACCGTGCTGCCAATTAATCCTACCATTCTGCTAATGGAACGATGCAAACAGTATTCAAAATGCAACTGTTCATATCCGTTGAGAGCTACAAACAAAAAAACTTGAAGAAAATGTAGAGATTAAATTTCGTTGTTTGGTATTTACAATTGAAAAGAGAAGAAAGGGCGTACTATTATTAATAACAATAATATTAAAACAATATATAATAACAACCTAGTACTATGATCGGTGGTGTAAATCTGGTAACCTATATATCGCTGTGTGACAAATTCTAATTTCTACCTGATATTTATTACAATTTTTTATAAAAGCTTCTTCTTCTTCCGCAAATCACCCATAAACATATGAAAATTCTCAGTGTTGTATAAAAAAATTTTTCTTCTTTCTTGCCTTGTTCTACAATTGTTTAAGACAAAAAACGCTTAAGTCACAAATACTTTTAATTTAGTTAATTTAATTAAAGGAGAAATAAACGGGAAACGATACATAATTAATACACATTAAAACGCTACAAATTTGTTAGTTTCCGCTTCATTTCATTTATAACCGTTTTCCTCTATAAAGCTATAAAGTGTAAGCCAATTCAATTGTAATTAGTCATCAAATTAAACTAATTAACAAAAACTTAATAGAAATTTCCTAGTATCCAATGCAAAAATGAAAAGCCATCGTTTGAAAGGTTTAAAACAATATCAAGCACAATATGATATGTCTGAAGGATCCATTTTATAAATACATTTTATAGATTTTTATTTTTACTTTATAAATTTATTTATTTATGCGAGTTCGCAAACGAGCGAATTTTCAATTTATTTATTTTTTTGCCTTATAAACTGGTAAGGCTTGGTGAAAATATGTACCTCTACAGCAAATTCTTTTAAAAAGTGAGTCATTTTTCTCTCGTCGACTTTGACAGATATAAAGGAGTGTATTTAACGGTTGTCGTGCATACGAGAAGCAAAACAAATGAAAATTACGGAACGATGATGAATGCTGGTTCATATGTGAAGCACCACCAATCGAAAACCAAAAGCGAAAGCTACTGTTCAAATATGCAATTGTCCCTAAAAGAGCATTTTTAAAAATTGTCTCTTCAGTGCTCACAATAACGCTTTATTAAAATATATACTTTATTATTCTAATTATAAATTTCTACAACATTATTATCTTCAATGTTATTTTTAAATTATGTCAATACTTATATTAATTTTTTGTTTTTTTACTTCTTTTTAAAGTTTTAGTCCGACTTTGTTCCAATCGGCCTGAGTGAACAACACTCTGCTAGTTATTGACTTAAATCTCTGAATTATACACTTCTATTTTATATCATATAGCCCTGGATGTTGTATATATTACTGTCAGTCTGGACATACACGCCACATATCTGTTTAGCTAATGTCATGCATACCCTACATCAAAAAAAAAAATAAAACAATAATAATAATAAATGCAAGCATATGTTTATCTCTTAGCTTCACTCTATTCGTTCACCGTGAATGGTAGTAGCGATAACGATGACAAAGTCATATCTAAAACAAGTGAAGAGGAAATCAACGTTCGTCTTAAAAATTTTGGATCTCCGTGCATTCGCATTATTGCGTAAAAGCATTTTTCAATACGCAACATTTTAACTTGATGTATCTTTGAAGTTATATTCCTTCGTTGATTTTGGGGAAACTTATTTTCGTAACTTTGATACCCTGGCAAATCAGTATTCGGCGTTTGTTAGCTGCATATGCTATTTGGACGTTCTGATAATTTGCCGGTATTTTAATCATTAAGTCCAGAAATATATGTTTAAATTATTTCATCAGTATGCAGAAAATATCTGGTTTATTCATACCAAAATTAGTTATTCCAAAGGATTCAGTACCAAAACACATAGAAGCATTATCCAGAAGCCAAAGGGTAACTAAGAGAACCAACCTATGACTTATTCTCCATATATCATTGTATTGTATTATTATGGTATCATTATAGCTAATGAATGAATTAGGATTAGTTAAAGCCGCTGGTAACGGATTTTTTCATATCATGCCAATAGCGCAACGTTCACTCGATAAATTGTGTAACTTGGTGAACGAATGTATGCTTGAGACTGGTAGTTCTAAAATAACCATGCCTATATTAACGCCCACTGAGTTGTGGCAACAGTCGGGTCGACTGCATGGCGATATAGAAGAATTTTTCATCGTTAAGGACAGACACAACAAAAAATATTTACTGAGTCCTGTAAGAATTTAAAATCTATTATCCTATGTATTTCGTAAGCTATTTCCGTTTATATTTTGCTATTTAGACACACGAAGAGGCTATAACGTCGATATTGGCAACAACAGCGCCAATATCCTATAAACAATTGCCACTAAGATTATATCAACTCGGTCCAAAGTTTCGTGATGAGTTAAAAGCTCGATTTGGTTTGGTGCGTGCTAAGGAGTTTCTGATGAAAGACTTGTATTCTTTTGATCGATCCGATGAAGAAGCCCAGAATAGTTATAAAATCATCACATCCAGTTATGCGGGATTATTTAAAAAGCTCCAGCTGCCATTTGAAAAAGGTTGAACATGATTTGAAAGAGATTGCAGCAGTAAAATAATATATGTGTATATTTAGTGGACGCTTGTACGGGCATAATGGGAGGTAAGTGTTCCCAGGAATTTCAAATAGTTTGCCCGGTAGGCGAGGATCGTTTGTTGCGTTGCCAGCGTTGCCATTACGCCTTCAATGTTGAACTTGCGGAGGGAGACGCAAAATGCTGCTTGAAATGCCACAGTCCGGATTTGGAAGAACTGAAGGGCATCGAAGTAGCGCATACTTTCTTATTAGGAGACAGATATACCAAACCTTTCAACGCTACATACTTGGATTGTGATGGTAAACCAAAATCTTTAGTAATGGGTTGCTATGGGCTGGGTGTTAGTCGTGTATTGGCAGCTTCTCTGGAAGTGTTATCAAGCGAGAAAGGATTGGTTTGGCCTACTCTTTTAGCCCCTTACGACATATGTGTGATAGGACCTAAAGACGGAAGTAAAGAACAAGAATTGGGTGATGTTATAGAAAAGGATATTTGTAAAAAAATTACAGAAATATATGGATGTGATGATGTTGTGCATGATGACAGAAAATATTTAACTATTGGCAAGCGTTTATGGGAGGCAAAAAGGTAAATTTTATATCTATTTAAAATGTAATGTAAAATGTTCGCAACAAATTTCATTTTTTAAAGGATGGGTTATCCCCTAATAATTGTTGCCGGTGGAAAAAGCGCGGATAATACACCTATTCTTGAGCTTCTAGTTAAGAATCATCATCATGAGTTGCATGTAGATACTGTGTTAACAGAAATACACAAATACAAAGATCACAAAATCGCTCTAAGAAAACGTTGCCATTGATAGCCAAAAAAAAACTTTTGCTAAATTATTTATTTTTTAAGTAATTGCGTGTAGTTAGTTAACAAGATTAATAAAAAAAAAGAAAAAAAAAGAAAAAAGCTATCACAAAATAACAGGACTAGTTTTAAATAGCTTCAGTGCCTCTCATAGTCGGGCACAGGTATCTCGGGATAGGCTTGTAACGTGGCTCTACGTGCCGGGTTGTTTTGATTGGATGGCTGCGTATTAATGTAAGACCACGGTAATTGCCCCCTCAACTCCTCACTAACACGTGGATTTAAACTTGGCATATGGTAGTTTTCGGATGTAGTAATATAACGGTAATTAAGAGGAGTTTCTGTTGACAATTGCTGTTGATGAAGGGTCTGCGGGCTGGTGTAGTCTAACCGATCAGCATTCGCATTAGTAGAATGATTCGTAATCGTTTGTTCATTGGTTGGGTGTTCTCTGCGTAATGGAGCACTTGGCGCAGTCTCAGCTTGCTGCTTAACAATTAATGACGGTTCTCTTTGAAGTGAATAAACATTTTGTACTTGCAAAGGTTTAGGTTTTATTAGATGATCCTCCTGTAGTTGCGATGCTAGTCTCAGCGGTACATGTCGCTGTTCATCTTTTGCCATAGTTGTTTGCGTCTCTTTGCTATATTCGCGTTTCGTTTGACTAACGATAGGCAAACGCGGTAAAGGTGCCGTACTATCGGTGGCTCCACTGCTAACACTACCTTTGCTAGAAGAATTCTATTTCAAACGAAATCAATTTTAATTATTTTTCATAAATTCAGTGAAATGTTGATCGAACGTACCGGTTTCGCGAGTAGTCGCGATAGTGATAAGCAAAAAGCTGAACCAAAAATGTTTAACAACCAAATCAATATGATGCGCGAGCTTATGCAAGTCATCACTACAGCAGGCGTAATGAAGTAGGCGTCATAACTTTTTAGAAATTTCATTACATCGTCGTTACTTGATGACGCACCCACATAATCAAATGTCTTCTCGGCAGACTATCGGTTAAAAAATTGCATTAAAGAAAGGGTCCACGAGCCCGAATAAGGATATAGCACTTCTTACCACTGTCTGTATTATATCATTAACATGATATCCGGTAGCTATTGCATCCACAATACTGCCAGCGACGATGACGAGAAACCAAGGCCCAAAACAAAACCACGCTACGGTTTTACTAACTGGTCCCCATATACTAGAAATCACCAGTAATGAAGTAATTATCCAAGTGGCACTAATAGCAGTGTACGTTAATAAAAATATATATGTACGATGAGTAAGCTTAAAAGAATCGTCCCAAGAAACATTTAAAGTAACAGTTTCCTGATTTATCGGTAAAGTGATGTTAGGAGAACCACACTCTTTATCTATGGAAAAGACGTCAGACTTATTTCATATGAATATACAGAAGGCTATAAAATATCATTACCTAAAAATGTGAAAGGGCTTAACTGAAATTTCATTTATTTATGAATTTTTTCTTTTTTCATACTAAATGCATTTTCACATAAATTATGTTATACGTTTAATGAAATCGCGTGGGTTGCAAATTTGTACTAAGAAGTTGCAATTCAACGGGTTTTTTTTTTTTTTTTTTTGAATGGTGGCAAAGTCACGATTCATTGATAATTATATGAAGAAAAGAAAAGGAGAAACGCAGAAAATCGGAAAATCGGAAAATCGGAAAATGCGAGCAAATATGAAAATGTTTATTGTATCCTTTGCATTTTTAGGTAAAAATATTTATTGTATATGTAAAAAAAAAAAAAAAAATGATTGAGTAAAAACTTACTTAAAAAATAAATCAAATTCATAATGAAATGAAACGGTTGACTTGATATGTCCGCAGAGTCGGACATATTTGTGCATTGCCTCAACATTATGCCCCATATGGAAAGAGCTAAGTAACCGCAGCCTTGCAGCTGAAACGAATTAAACGAAACTTTGTTATATATTAATTCGAATCCCCCCCATCTATTTACATGTATATGAAAAAAGGGCAACGATGCAGTTTTAGAACTCAATTGTTTCAATACTTGCGCATGTACATATATATATATATATATATATATATATATATATATATATATAGGTAATACAATGCAATGTGCTTAGAATAAAGTGGTAAATGTAAATAGATTGTGTAAATAAAGTTGCAATATTTTAATATAAAATGACAGACTTTTCGCGTATTGATAAGATAATAACGCGAAAGAACGACGACAAGAACATTTTACATGTTTCGGTTGTTATTAAATGAATCAATATTACATATTACATTCATTCGTATCACATCACATACATAATTATTGTTATATATATCTATATGTATAGAGCGGTATTATCGCAGATATTCGAAAGAAGAGATCAAAGTAATTTCCTTTTTTTATAATTTTACTATTGTTGTTGATCATAAACTTTGAATAATGAGATAAGGTGTTTATTTACACTACAACGTGTGGTACGGATGCACATGTGTGTGTGTGTGTATATATAGATACGAAACTACAGTATCCACACTTACCAATATAGCAGCCGCCATAAAGAATATAAAACACTTGGCAAAACCTATATTCACGCCGGCCTGCGACATCACATTAATTTGTCTCAATTGTATTCCGATAATTTACTATTCTGCAGTACAACTTCGTCAGAGCACCAATAATTCAATTGCAAGTATTATTAAACTATTCGAAGAGAAAATAAATAAAGGCACTAATGAAAACGATTATACTGCATTTGAATCGAATATCTATCTCATAGCTGTCACCTTTACGGCAAAGATAAGGAGACTCTACTTAAATAGCTTATGCGATCGCAAGCCATTGAGATCATTTTGATAAAGAATGTATTCATAGCAAGCGTTAAGTTTTCGCTTAACATTTAACTTTTTTTCAATTTGTCTATTCCCAACGCAGTGGAACGGAGGTGGGGGCACATTGAACAAAGTACGGGTACCTCACGAACGGCCTCTGTTAGGCTTGTATATCTGACAGATGGCATCATCAAAAAAAAAAAAAAAAGACAAAAGTGATTAATAAAGACGGGCAGAGAGGAAGAGAGAAAGAAAGAAAGAAAGAAAGAGAGAGAGAGAGAGAGAGAGAGAGGGGGAGAAAGATGTATGATATAGCTTCTTTTATGAAAATTCTTATATGCAGGTCGATATTGCCCATGGTTCAAATTGTTCGGTGCTCCTATCGGTTTTTAACGTTAATCTTTAATTCGCCATGAATTTAAGTAAATAGCATAAATATGTGGGTAATATATGCACATTTAACACGATAAAACGATGGCAATTAATGTGAATCTCACATATAGCACATATTTATCAGAGCCGATATCAGTAAAAGCGATCCAGCCCAATTTGCGGGTATGCCGTCAACTCAGAAAAATTGCTTATAACAAACTACAGAACTTCTTGTTATATAGGTTATATTAAGGTTGTTCGGACGTATGTAGCACTCAGAGGAGCTTATGGTGTTGGTCGATTCATAATCTAAACTTGCTTGTCCGTCGGTCTACTGTCTGTCCATGTGTTGTTGTGTTCAATCTACAGATCACAATTTTTGAGATACTTTGATAAAGTTTGGCACGCTGACGTGCTTTGATTCAAGGAGCAATGCTATTAGAGCCCGTATCGGTTCACTTTTTCGAACACTCCACCTTTATTTTCAAAGGTCGTTACATGGAAAAAAGTTGCCATTTTCAACGTTTATTAACTGCGTAACATGTTTTGTTTACAACGTCAGGACGTAAGAGACCACTTCTCCTTCGTTCATGCTTTCTAAAAATTCTCCTTTCTCGATTATCAAAAATTAAGTATTGTCACTCGGCCAGTACCCAGCACTTTCGGGAGAAACTATTAAATCATGTTGTTATGTAAATATGTCAGTCCCTCCACCTGTTTATATTTCTTCATACATAAAGATTTTCATGAAATTAAACATAAATGAATGGAGATCAATGAAATTTGTTCCAAGTGCAAATCGATTGGTCTCTCCGCATTTCTCTACATGAGGACCATGTTTTTTCGGTTGATACCTATCGAGCTTGATTTAAGCAATTGTCGCTTTACTATGCATCCGCACGTGCTTTAAGATTATGTAGACAAGTACGTTATTAGAACAGTTTTGTTAACTCGGAATTTGTTAAAAATGTGCTATAAACTCACTGTAGATGCCTTCGCTTTAGATAGATAAACAAAAACCAGGTAATGCAAATCTTGGATACCTTCACATGTAGGCAGACTGAAAAAGAAAGTTAATTAATGTGTTAATTAGATGGAGGTGTTACATTGGATAAGTTTCCTATAAATGCAAAATCAACTGGACCTCAAAACTTAATTAACTAAGGTTCGTCTTGTGACGAACACACGTAACTTTCTTTAAATATATTTGCTTTCTTTTTCTCTCTCTTTAGGGATACTTTTGTTTATAAAATTTAGATAAAATATTTTTGTTTACGTCAACGCTTTGCAATGCATTTTTTTTTCATGGAACCAAATCTACGATTTCTATCTAATAATTGCGCGAACTATAGGCGATAGGGATAAAAAGAGACTACGACAGTTACTTCATGTTACATATGTTTGAATACATTTCCCAATCTGTTTGATGCCCAAGTACACGGGCTATCTAAGTGAATCATTTTATTTTTTATATTAAACGGAGTGGTTGATTATCTCACCCCATATATTTTTTGTCTTTTTTATCTGTTTTTTTTTTTTTTTATTTTTATTTTTTTTTTAATATTTTTTTTGCTTTTAACTACTGCTTACAGCGAAGTTATTGTCAGCGCTTGTTTGTGCGATCGTTTCTATAAAAATGTATTTATTTTTTCAAATTTTTTTTTTTTTTTTTTTTTGCTAGCTTTCAGTTACGCGGTTTATTTGTTACTGACAGCGCACGTATAGCCGAACATCCATTAGACTTAATATAATGCTAGAAGAAGTAATGGGTAAAATCATTACTATCTAATAAACGTTAGTGTTCTAAAGTTACATGAAGATCTACCCGTAAAAAAAAAAAAAAAGAAAAAAAATAAAGAATTAAAAAAACAATTGCAAATGATTTGATTGATAAGATAGTAGGGATTCAGAGTCAGAACGTATAAATGAGCATGTGGCTAAGGTTCGTATCATTCGTTTTCTTTTTTCAATTTTCCACCTTCGTAATGCGTTCACTTAAGTCGAATTTCATTGGCGAGATATATACGTTATTTTTATGGCGAAAACACACACATTTCACATTGAGCTATTACTTAACTTGTCGAGAGAGAGAGAGAGAGAAAGAGTAGGATGCAATTTAACTAGAAACGTTAAGGTAAATTAATCCAAGCTTTAGCTAGCAATAAACGCTTCACTGCACTTTCCCACATTTCTACAAGATGAAATTATGACGGCATTTAATCGTTATTTAAATGTACATGTACTATATGGAGAACGGCACGCTGTTTATTGTATGCAAATAGCGTTAACATATATAAGTCTTGAAAATGATTATTCGAATGATAATAAATGTTTAGATTTTGGTTCTACTACTCGACGAACTTGCGTCTTGGCCTCAAAAGTTAAAACTTATACAGAGTTATACACTGGTCGCTTTCACCTTTATTTACCTCCTTTACAATTTAACACACATCACATTTGTTATGTTCATCGTACGGTCGCAACGAGAAATGCATACAAGAAAATATATATAGCATAGGGCCTACGAAGTACCTGCATATTGGCAATTATGCAGGTACGCATGAACACAATGTGTGTCTGTCTACCAATTCATGCTCCATCGATAAAACGCTCACCTTTACGTTGATCTCTTCTCAAGTGAAATTCAGTTTAAATATTATCTAAACAGTTTCATTGTTTTTCTTTTATACAATCCCCTGGGTTCTGCCAATTCGTGTTACAACATGAAATGAATCATGTACGCTATTAATGTCATATAAGATACGTGATATACTCAGTTTCACTCAGTTTCAACTTGTCAATGTTCACCTTGTTGTTATAGAACAATAAATGGCATCACGATTACCTTTCCGACTTATTACACAAGTTCGTAATCAAAATTTATAGTGAATATTGTCTTCAAAAGCGTCTCGGGAAAAATTCGACCTTGACGATATATATTTATAATTAAAGAATGACGGCTGTACGAGAAAATGTTGGGCAAGTTATTAACTTATCGTATTTATAGTATCGGATTGATTGAAGGACTAAATGAGGCTAACATCTACGATCTAACTACAGTTCAGCGACGGCAACTTTGAACATTAAACACTGAAAAGACCTTAGTTGTTGAAAGAGAAAATCTCAGTTGACGAGATCGGCAGATTGCATGGAAATTACATTTTCTGACATGATATAGAAACTATAGAAGATATCAAGGTCACACGGTTGCAATACACCAACTCATCCTTAAGAAATGTACTCCGGGGATTTGCGATTATAGACAAAATCTTACGATTAAACGTATAGTTTGTGCATCTCAAAAGCTTTCCAATACTCAAAGACACGTTTTCGAAGCGTCTAACCCTATGAACATGTTGCAAAATACCCGAAGAACTGACGACTTATCTAACTATCCCTGCTAACTTTAAAAAGAAGAAAAGAAAAATAATCGATAGTCTTAGTTGCTAGTGCTGATCGTACTTTTAGTCCTGCAATTTGTTGCTTTGACACCTAGAACCCATAGTCTACCTATACTTTTTTATGTCCTCGCACTACTTGTAGTACGGAGCCTTGTGTGGATGTACCTTGCCTGACATCTAGTCATTTGTGGCGAATCTGAACAACATTGACTCTGAATGAACTCTTTGCGTTCCGCCCCATAGAAGGGTTCTGATTAAAGCTAAAGCCTTATGTGGCAAATATGTCGAAATTTTTTATTATTTTGTGATAAAAATGATTCATTTGCTACAGAAAGTCACTGTAGCATCAAATCCACTAGTTCTTGTCGCGTCTGCTCTTTTACACGCCGCCTTATATCAGAAGTTTCATGAAAAATATGCCTCTACAAGGCACAGTTTCGATATTTTATCACGGAAATATATGAAGGATTGTGTTACGCGATATTTTGTAGGGAATTTACTAGTCAGCCTTACCTCGCTATTATGTTTTTACTAATCTCTAGCAGAATGACGGGTATCTGGCAAATTCATCCGTTTCTTTTGATAATATTTTTCAAATTATTTCGACATAAATTTCGGCACTTTGTGATATGTTAATGTGAACTCGTACAATTTCGAAGTCATCTTCGATCCTTTCTCGAACACACTACATTTGAATTAAATAAAAAGTAAGGTTTTTTTTTTAATCTTAAACTTTTTATTCAATCATAATATACATTGAATAGGGTTCAGTGTGGCAGAGTAAGTACATCGAGTACATTGGCCTCCACGGTTTTGCTGGCACATAAGCAGTCTTTTATCGAAACTTTCCATGTCTATTTTGCATAAATGTGGCCCAACTTCGTTGATATAGCTTTGAATCTCCTCCTTCTTGCTGGCATGCCGACATAGACCTTTGACTTCAAACGAACTTATCTAATCTTATATCGAAAATCACCATATCTGAGTCAATTTACTTAGATTTCTGCAAGCGGAACGTCATCATAGAGAGTTAAATCGTTGACGTCCATCTCGTGTGTTTGCAAATGCACACGACGTCTATAGCAGTCCTATATTCTTAGGATTATTAAAAAAAAAAAGATAAGAAAGTGTGTTTTTGGAAGCGCTCACTGATTTCAAAGTGAGCGTCAACGTGTTAATACATTACACATGTTACATATATATGTTGCAGTTTCCCCAAAATCTTTCTTTGGCTCGAAGCGCTGCATATATAGCTCGCCAAACACCTGCTAAACGATTTTATAGGTAGACAGTCATTCATACGAAAGGTGGTGGGAAGTGGTTTCAGCTCTCTCGTCGTAGAATGTGCATAAATTTATATCTGAGAGTTGCGGTAGTTTATGCGCTGTACTAAGAAACTTTATTAATTTTTTTGCCCCCGAATTTTTTTGTTCAAACGTTATCTAACTTTTTCATTGACCATTACAAAGCTAACTTTACTTCACTTGTCCCTAAACGACGTAAGTTCACTTCACCGGCGAAATTATAGTTGAACAAAAGACCCCTTAACTAATCTTACTAACTATAGTACGTTAACTTAGTCACGCCCCTTGAATTACTAAAAGTTAAAAAAGGCTACAGATATATATCTAATCGCCGCTTGGCAACAGACATCAAAGTGAAATAATTTAAAAAAAGAGTCGCATTCATCCTGTGGCTTGCCACATTTTTATGGCAAACTATCATCGGGAACATTTTCCGCATGAATGTTTAAACGGCTGCAATACCTCCAATTTAAATTTTTTATTCAGTTTTTGATTTGTCTTATAGTCGAACTAACTATATATTACGGAGAATACTTTCGTTTTTTTTTTTTTTTCTTTTGCTCAAAATAAAAGGTCAAGGGGTTTTACGTGGTTATCATTCAAATAAAGCTAAAGGGAGGAGAAGTGCAATGCGGTGCAGTGTAGAGTTTCTGTTTAAAAAGTCGTTATGCTCCTTCCACCGCAATATTCAGAGTACGTGGCATTAATAATTGCGACATTTGCGAAATCTTTTCTCGTTAATAGAATGACAAATGCATGTTATACCGTAGATGTCGCTGCTTCCCATATTAATAAAATTTTAAATTATAAAATAATTAATTGAAAATGAAGTCGCGAATTATGCCTTAGATTACACTTATTGTATATATTGTATATATGAACGCATGTGTTATTATATGACATTTAAGAAAAACGCATATCGCATGGCATGACATTTTAACATTTATATCGTATTATATACGATATGAAAGTATGACAGGTTCAGCTTCAATTTCAGCAACCTTTTCTCTAAGTACTTCTTCGGCTTCTTTCAATGCGTCGTTACTTTTCAAAGTTGTAGTTGAGTAATGATTTAAAAATGCTAAAGTCTCACAGACACGATCGTTTTTCGTCATGTCTAGAAGTGAAAAGCGTTGGATATAGAAAAAAGTCGGAAATAACTTTTTTTATCTTTTGTCAAACCTTTTTCAACTTCATTATTAGGCGTCGTCTTCAAGAATACTTCTGCCTCTGTATTGGTATCAAGTGCTTCTTCTTCGCCACCCTCTTTCAACGTTTCACGTTTATTCAGCCCATGTTGTTCAGCATGCTCTGTGTTTTTTTTTGTTGTAAATTCGATTCGACAATATGAACTAAGTAGTGACGTAAAAATGATATAATTAAATGCAATGCGCTTACGGTTGTCCAACCTCCGGGCATATAGAATGTCAGCAGCATTACGGGATAAACCTAAGCTATCGCCGCTTTCGCCGCTATCGCCACTAACGTTGGCTAATGTGATTGAGGCCTTTGTTGCAGCGGGCTTTGCATAGCCTTTGACTATCATCACAAACACTATGGCAAGCAGCGAAAGTTTACTCATTTTAAAATCGTGACTTGGGCTTCAAATCAATTTAGCGTATTTTTTGAACACTAAAAACAATGTAAACAAAGTTTGTAAAATGACTGTAGTAGCAGCGCACTCCCAACCTTCTGTAAGGTTTGCTTTAAGTAAAATGAATGCCTCTCATGAAAAAGCTCTTTATGGGTTTGTTGTAATAAGCGTATCGTGTGATTTTTTTTCCGCTATTTTTGTTTCAATAGATATTTGTTATTAATAATCACATAAAACATTAAAAAAACATTGGAAAGGCAAAGTATCTTCTTCTGGATAGGACAGCGCGACAAAGAGTAGAATACAATAAATATGCGAAACAATCAAGAAAAGTTCCGTCTAATGCGTCAAATTTCAAGAATTGTTTAAAAATATTCTTCAAAAAGAAAAAAAAAAAAAAAAAAACCTGACTGACTTAAAACCTTTGGATAGCATTTCTCGATCATAAGTCGTCTTGTTGTTTTAAGAGCAACCAAAAAAAAAAAAAAAAAATGCATAAATGAAAAAATGATTTTATGAACCAAGTGGAAATCACAACATTTCCTCCTTTTCTCTTAGACCGAATGAAACCATTTTCTTGCAAATTTAAGGATGGACGGATCGCTCCTTATCAAACAATCCTTAATGAATTTCGAGTATGTAAAAACTGCTCGAATACCGACCAATAAATGAAATTGACTTAAAGCCGTATGCAGGCAAAAAATATATATCCTTTACATGACACTTAATGCATATATATCCGCAATTTATTTATAAAAAAAATTAATATTTTGGACGTTAGTTAATGGAAGGCCATGAAAGTATTTTAAAGGTGCATTCACTGAATTTCATTGACGGGCGTCGAAGTATCGAAGTGAAAGTAGAAGATATTTTCTCAGAAAACAGTCCAGTGACCGAATGAGGAAAGTTTTTTATGGGCATAACGTGAAAGATGGATTGCATCTGCTGGAAGAGAAGCTTCTCCAATTTGAAGAAAATATAAATTGAAAATAATATTTTTAACTTCTTTACACCATTTTGCACCATCTGCTGCTCCTGCCGGGCACGGCTAAATTGTTTCCATGTTGAATTTTTTGCTCAAAACATACTTCCTTCTCAGCGCAAATTAATAAATTGGAAATATGTGTGCAAAAAATTTCATATTTCTGTTTTGAGTCTTCCAACAATGGGCAAGCAATATCGGAGAACGGATGGATGGCTTCGGCTAAATCGATTTACAATCTCACACTGTCAAGCATTGTTTTGCAGAAGTTTCCAAAAGTGACGATATTCGCATCGAGTTCGTAATCACGCGTTAAACGCGAAACATCGTATTTCGTATACTTTTAGCATTAATCAGAAGCAATCCGTAGAATTTTTTCGCAATGTTTTTTTTTTGAATTGTTTGTCAATGAAAATTTCTCACATATGAAATATAATACATGGGAATGTGCATAAAGGCTGAGTAAACCTTTTAAAAATAGAACAATTTTTAAGTTTTTCACTATTTAGCAGCAACAAGTTATGCGCTTCCAGCTAAATATTATTATTCTTCGCAGTGCTGATACAATTAATTAACACATTCTATTAAGCACATGCACATAACATATATGCATTAAAAAAAAAAAAAAAAAAAAACAAAGTTCGTGTAGTTTGCTGATAAATTGAGTGGCCAGTACTTCTTACTAGCCTATTGATCGAAAGACGGTGTAGAAACGATCGATTATGTTGCATTGAAAATTGCTCAAAACTCATTCTCGTTTCAATTATAACGTTAACGACGACTAAAATTCACTATCGGCTACGAAATTGTCTATAAACAGAAACTCACTATTACCACACCTAGTCTATAAAAGACTAAGCGCAAATTGGATTATATTACAAACCATAGCCGCGGCGTTCACTGCAGTTACGAGTTCGCTGATTCGGTGACTTTTCAAAATGAAACTCATATTTCTTGTAAGCATCTGCTATTTGATGCTTTCGCTTTCCATTTTCGGCCGTGCTTTGCCAATTTCGGATAATCAATCCGATTTAGAGAATAAGACATTCGAAGAATTGGAGGCCGCCAGCATTAACGATTCAGCTAAAAATCTTTCGCTGTAAGTATTTTCTTTCTCTCCTCTAATGTAAATGGAAAATTTATTTTATAGAGAGGATGAGACGCAACCCCAATATTTAGATTGTCATCCCGTCGCTTATAACAATTGAGACAGATCTACATATATATTTATATTATATCAATATATTAGAAAAATCGTCGTTTAAGCTTGAAGCAGGCAAACGCAAAGAGTGCGCCCATCAATCTCATCAAATAGTTCAGGGTATTTTGTTGATTTATTTAATGTCAGCAAAATGATTTGAATGAAGCATGTTTTTGATCAATAGAACAAAGTTTTTCGAAATCGACAAACTAAAGATTAAAGATTCTATTTCGAAATATTAATTTAAAAGTGAACTAATTTTGGCGGTTTTCGTGGCACTTTTCCAGTAAACTAAATAATCAAAAGAAAAAAGAAATTATTTTTAATAGTTTACGACCGAATTCGTACAAAAGTCGATCCGAAAGTTTGTGCAAAAAATCTACAACGATCATAAGAAAAGTCAGAAGTGAGAAGTGCTAATGTTATCGATCATTTTACACACATATATTAGTTTGGGGAAAAAGAAATCCATTATTTTTATATGAACTTCAGGACTTTATTTAACATGCTTCGGATTGTTCGATTTGGGTCAAATATGCACCGTTCTATTGTATGATTTGTTGCCATTTTAAAGGTAACTTCAAAATGCCTCTCTCATAGAAGTCCTGGTCTCTATTTGCAAAAAAACTCTAGTAGTCGATTTTTACAATCCTCCCTAGATTCCAATTTTTTATCATTAAAGAAATCTTGCAATGCAAGAAAAAGATGATAATCGCTTGGTAGTGCCAAGCCCGGACTGTATGGCGGATGCATTAAAACTTCCCAACCAAGCTCCCGAAGTTTCTGGCGAGTCACTGTAGATGTGTGTGGCCTAGCGTTGTCCTGGTGGAACACGCCACCTCTCCTGTTGACCAATTCTGGCCGTTTCTGGTCAATCGCTATCTTTAAACGGTCCAGTTGTTGACAGTAGAGATCAGAATTTTAACCGCCTGGCTTGCATTATCGCCTCTGTCAAAGAAAAACTGTAAAATGTACCGAATTTTCTCTTTGTTCACTTCCATTTTTAACACGCTGTAACTCACAACTGTATGCACCAAACAAAAACCGGGCAAAAGAATTTTTTTTACTGCGAAATGTCACCTTTCCAACGAGCATAAATCTGAAATTGTTTGATCGATACTTTACGAGAAATCTATCAGTGCAGCCATCTACCGAAAAAATAAATGGATTTCTTTTTCCCTAAACTAATATAATTAGAAAGAAAGAAAAACATCGATTTCCCTGTACATCATACTCCCGCCTTTAGAAGGCGTGTATTCGAATTCAGCTCAAAATTAGGGTAGAACATTTTCGTTTATTTGTCTTCTAAATACCTTTTAAACTGCAGATACGTGGTGAAAGCAATGGTTTATGAGATTGGGATACTTACCGAAGAAGATAATGATACAGATGATACGAGTTTCGAGAATGAGGAACGCGTCGACTTAACATTCTTCGATGCTCACAGCAATAACAGCCACATCGATTTAGGGAACATCCCGTTGCCGATAAAAACGAATGTCTCGGGTCAAATTTTAACCGGTATCGCACCAATTAATATCGGCGCGTTTAGTAGTGCTGGCGAATTATTGCAGACCTTACCGCTCACTGGTACAATTTTTAATATAACACAAAGTGACACGGCTTTCTATCAATTGACCGCAACGAACATTAGTGACAGCGATAAAGCTTATCCAGTAAATGCAAATGAATTTGCTAATCTAGCTGGTGTGCAACAGTTATTCCCGTCTTCAAACACAATTTCAGAAGTAAAAGAAGAAAATGTAAAATAAATGTTTAAAATGTTTTTTGTTAAAATAATTTAAAATGGTTTTAATTAAAAAAGCATTTGCTAAAAATACTTGAAGAGACAGACAACTTTTAACATGAATGCGCAGAAAAGTTGCTTAAGAAGGACAAAGTAAAAGAAAACTTAAATTTATCTATATAAGAGCAAATAAAAATTATTACATATTGCTTCGTTATTATAAAAAGAAATGTGTTTTAAAACTTTTTTTTTCATTTATTTTTGTTTTTTCTCTTCAGTTTTAATATTAATAAATTTTTGTTTAATTTTTTTTTTTTTTTTTTTTTTTTTGTTTTCTTAATTTTTTGCATTTTGAAAAATTAGAAATAATCATACAGTAATAATATTTATAAATTATAATATAATAATAATCATAAATTTACCTTTAGTATAACCTTAAACCTTATAGCTGGTTTAAATGTTTTTTATTTTTTAATTATTTATTTTCATATTTTAGTTATGTTGTCTCGGGGCTTAGCTTCTCTTGCCTTATTTGCATGTTTTTTTTTTGTTTGTTGTTGTTGTTGTTGTTGTTGCTTATTGTTTTACATTAGTGAAACATTTTGCTACGAAACGGAACGGCGCAAAAGGCAAGGTGTTCCATTTTTCAGTGAAGAAAAAACAAAAAAAAAAAAAAAAAAAAAAAAAAAAAGGAAGAAAAACCACTATCCAACTTGGGGCCCCATCACTTGCCGACCTACGTAGAAAGAGAACGTAAGAACAGTACATAAACCAATTCACAGTTCTACTCCGGACTATAATTTGATCCAATATTAAGACAGCTCAAAATTGTGCCCGCGAACTGAGGCCCGTTAATAAATGGTTCGTGATATCGAGTTAACTCTATATCTGTGGATTATGCGCTCGGCGTAACGAATGAAGAGTTTATAATAGCTGCGGATAACATATGCATTCTTCTTTCGATGGTCAAAAATTGCTGTTACTCGATATCGAGAAACGTGCAAATCGAACCTTGTTTCTTCTTATTCAAACTTTCGAGAAAAAAAAAAGTGCAAAATTCAGCTCTTCACTATTCTTGCAAAGGAAGGAGGAAATAAGGACAATTACAAAAACCGGCCCTGATTAGCAATCAAATAAGTTTGATGTGGGATGCTAGGATGCTAGTATGGTACGTTCCTTGTCCCAACGTAACTGTGTGCGATCGTAAAGAATAGTTATATAAAAAATATTTTTCACAATTAAAAAAAAAAAAAAATAAAAAAAATATAATCGGAATAAAAACTAAAGCAATCACGAAATTACTGTGTATTTCTTTCCTTGAAATTGTATGTGTAGGCTATATCATGTGTATTCAAATCTGAGGGGGAGAGGTGTAGTTGGTTTACTTTTGTATATTTTTTATTTTACTTTATTCTACTGTCTTATATTTATTTTATATTATTAAACTAATATACATTTTAACCATTTGCGATTGGCGGTTTGTTTTTGCAACTTTTTTTTTTTTTTTCTTTTTTGTTATTATTATTATTTGACATTTCGACTCAACATCAAACAATATTGAATATTCTGACTAAAATAGTTTATCAGGAGCAGGATACGCTTAAAACTATTTATAAAGAAAGTGAAAAGTGATGAGGACTCGCTAAATGAACGATCGAACATCTTCCATTTCGTTTCCCTTTTCCCCTTGACGCGATATATGCTTGCAGCAGCGTTATACTTTCATATATGTATGTATATGGAGTTGTGTTAAAGATGAATAAGAAAGAAAAAGCGAAAGGTCTAAAATGTTATATCTCCCTTTCTCTTTCTCTAATTATTGAGTGGTGATATGAGCGCGATAACGATTCCATGGCGAGGGAGGGTAAGTGTTGCATGTTTATTTGTTTGCTTGGTTGGTATGGTACAGTTCTGTTAGGTGATAGAAGTTTAACTAATATTTTACACTGCAGCCTTCTTCCTGCCACAATTACATACATACATATTATTACAGAGAATATAGGTATATGTATATATATATATATATGTATTTAAACACAAATATACATATCTGTATATATACATATATTTATATACCTATGTATATATATGTACATATACGTATATATTTATATACGTATTTATATACACATATACATATCTGCACATATCTGTACATATAGTATATATATATATATATATATATATATATAACATTTTTGTGTGTGTATACATATATTTTATTTCTATTACGATTAGTGTATTAAAAAGTTGTAAGAGTGAGCATATTCAAAGTAGGAGAAGGTAGGGCATTACTGTGCAGTTGAGATGTTGCCGTTTTGCGCTTTATTTATGTTTTTAGGAGCAACTTTTGTCTGTTGTACACATACGTCTATAAATTGCTGTAGCATTCTTCGCTTGACGACAACGACGACTCTTATGGGGTAAAAATACTAACGTCGTTTCTGTGTGTATTGAACGTTTCATGGATTCACATAAGTTAATCTGTCCATTAGAAAAAATTATGTAATGCAATAAAATTATTTACCTTGATTTATAACATTTCCACTTACCAATAACATGAGTATCCATGTTGCTTATACGTGGTTTCGATGACGGTTGTGGTATAATAGTGATTTCATCGTTGATCTTCAACGGTTTTAAAAGTGAATCGTTAGCAGCGCTTAAACCGCTCCGTTGACCACCACTATTACTATTAGTTGGTGTATTGGGTACAGGCGAGTTTTTTTTACCATCCATGGCTTTCTTGGCCACCGTGCTGTGGGCTGTATACACGTGCGTTTCGAATTGCTTGTACATGCCGAAAGTGGCAGTGCATACCGTGCACTTGTATGATAGATGCGCCGGTTTTAGAGTCATATGGTGATCGCGAGACACATGATTAAGAAGTTTCCATTGATACATCTAATTAACAAAAAAAATAAACAAATAAATAAATGAATTAATTAAATAATTATTGTAAATTATTTGTTTATCACTTACTCTGCCACAAACAGGACACCGACCAGCGTCTTTTCCTTTATTGGCGGCTTCTTGCATCGAGCTTGTTACCAAGCCATGGGAACCTAACAAATGACGTTCTAGACCCTGATCGGTGAAAAATCGAAACTGACATTTTTGACAATTCAATGGTGGTCGATTATAAATCATTTTAGGATGTATCTGCAGATATAGTAAAATGAAAATTAGATATCAAAGGACGACTTTATGCTCACGCTGTAACTGCTTACTTTAACTTTGTGTATCCATTGCATATGATTACGCAACGATTCCAAATCTTTGATGTAACCGTCGCATATCTCACAAATTACAAATTGAGTTTTATTTCCACTGGGAGTCTGACCTGGTTTCATGCCAGCCTGTGGCATTTTGCTCGTTGAAGGTGACGACGCACCGCCTGTAGGCGTTACGGCTGTATTTTGACGAGGTAGCGGTGTTATCGAAATGCTGGGTTGCCCAGTTAGTGACTTTTTGCCGGCAGCATTTACTTGTACTATTTGCCCGCCGACTCCCAATTGATAGTTGTTTGGCAAAACCACATTAGTGGCTGCTGGAGTGCGTATTTGGTTTGGACTTCTTATCATGGCCGCCGCTGCTGCTGCCGCCGCCGCTGGTCCGACAGACTTCACCTGAGGTAACTGAGGTGCTCGTCCTCGCATTTTATTGGCTGCATTTTGAGCCGCCAATGCAGCTGCCTGCATATTTCTGGTTTGTTGTTGCTGCTGTATGGAAGCTAACGCTGCTTTTTGAGCAGCTGCTTGAGCAGCCATAGCTTGATAGGCAGTTGCTGTGCCTACTAGACCGTGACGTGGTTTAATTCGGGGTATCTTAGCTGGCGCCTCCCAATCGCTGGGCGGTGCCAAATTCAGTTCAGGTCGGAATTTTTTGGCGCACACAGGTTGATGTCGTGCCAATTTCGCTTTACCATTATCCTCAAAGCCACAATTGGGACATTGATGGTACGGCAGCGGCTTTATCAGTCGGGCCTTGATGTTATGAATGGCTTCCATATGATAAACAATCTCGGTAGCATTGCGAATTTCAAAAATGCAAAAGTTACATTTGTACAGAGCACCATTCATATGGGGCGTTTCATAATGATTAGCCATAGCAAGAGCAGATTCCGATTTGAAGTTACAAAATTCGCAGCGTTTCATATTAAATTTAAAGGGTAAGTTTTTCTTCTTAGAAGCCTCCAAATTAGCTGTGAGTGCAGCTATAGCCCGCTCAAAATCGGTAACATTGCGACCCAAACTTTTGCGCATTTTGCGTTTTTGCAGTCGTATTAAATCAGATTGTACGTATTCTTGAACCAAGCCCACTCCGATATCCATGAAAAACTTACCAAGCGGGCTTTCAAAATAATTTTCTTGTCCCGGCTTAACAGCGAGCGGCGATTGTCCTACCGATTGCGTGACGGCGGAGGCGGGTTTAATAGCACCCTTTAAAGCTGCTATGTCATTGGAAGCCTCTTTGATAAGAACTTTCGTGCGCATGCCGGATTCAGAGTCGTCATCATCATCATCGTCTTCGTCCTCTGACTCTTCGGACCAGGAATCATCGCCATCATCACCGCGAGAGCGCTTCTTTTTATTGCTCTTTTCATCGCGATCTTCTTTATTCTGTTCTGTCATCATATCGAATTCGTCAGTTTTGTCAACTTCATCTAAATCTTCTTTTGTGAATGAAAACTTTGTTTCTAACTCCTTCATTACATCTTTAATATTTCCGGATGGGGGTTTCTCATAAATATAGGGCACAATAAATGAAGGAGCCTCCAATACAAACATGTCGTCTGTTAGACCCGGCAACAAATTAGCATTTGATGTCATACCGGGCAGTCCAGTCAGGGGCGGCAAACCCGTCGGCGGTATGGGACTGCCAACCGGCACCAATTTTGGAGGTCCTGTGGCAGGGAATATAGGTGAGGCAGGTGTAATGTTAACAGGATAAATGCCAGTTTCCGAATTGCGTTTCGGAATATCTGGCATAGACGGCATTAGAGTACGCGCATCTTTAATAGTAATTTGTGTAGGGTTGGCCGTAGCGCTGCGTAAACGTTTATTAGGCGGTTGATTATCATCTGTGCTATTGTTGTCATCCATGGCCATACTTTTTCGTTTCGTTATATCGCTTGCCATTGTTGATGTATCGTCCTCAATAACAACACAATCGTCGTCATCATCCTCAATGACTTGTGCATCAGTTGGCATTTGATTTGAAATTCTTACTTGTTGTGATGTGTTGGGTTTAGAAGGCGCAGAAGAATCATTATCAGAATCTGAACCAATCACTACCGCACCATCAGAGTCACCTACATCAACTTTCTCTTTTGAACTGGCATTTATCGACTTTTTCGCAGGCATTTCGGACATTTCTACATCTGAATCATCACCCAAGTCAACAATGGAACTATCATTGGACTGTTTATTATCTGGTTGTTTAACGGTACCGTTTTCTTTTTGTGTTACAGCTAAAGGATCCTGTACTGGAGTAGCTTCCTTTGATTCATTTGAAGATTCATCTAAATGATTTATCCCCTTAGAACGGAAAGAACTATCTTGACTGACACCTTCGCCATCTGTATCCGGCTGAACAGATTTACTGTGTTCGTTAATGGTATCATTTGTATTGGAATCGCTCTCCTTTGTGTGCGAACTATTTACATTGAACCCGCAGGCTTCGTTGACTGTCTTTGCATTGAAATTTTCACAATTCTGTGAAACTGAATTCTCATTTAGACTGGTAGCACTTTTAATTCTTATTTCAAGTTTACTGTTATTACTGTTGTCGTCCACACTAGCCGATGCCGTGCCTCCACCGTCTCCTGCACGACCTTCTTCCATCTCCGTAGAAGAAGTAATTTGCGAGTCATCTTCTTCGGTATCGGCCTCGCCTATCTCCATGCCTTCAACTTTACTGCTACTGCTGATGCTATTGCTGCCGTTTGGGTCATTGTGTTGAGACGTAGTTGTATTTGAATTAGCCTGATTTGAATTTTGTACAGTGCTCGACAGGGTAGAACCCTCCGGTATTGAGACATCTACTTCCGTCATCTTGTAAGCGAAAACTCGTTCTTCGATTTAATTGAAAATGACACGTTACTGACGTTAACAAGCTCTGAAAGACAACCACAATATAAAAAGAGAGTGTAGAAATTCTTAGATTTTTGTCAATAATATAAACAAAATATCATTTTTACTTAAGTGTAGAGCACGGAGAGATGTGTAATTAAAACTTTCACATGCACATGTACCAAAAACGACTAATTTGTTGTACGAAAGGGGTCCACAGGGGTCCGTAATAGTAGTGCTTTATATTTCTTTAAAAAGTAATTTTATCGGAACGACTATACGTTCGCTTTTATTGGATCGAAAGATAAATTTCGTGATAGTTTTTTTTATTTAAAATTCGATGCAATCGAATTGTTCTTATTTTATAAATTTTGTATATGAAAAATCTCTATTGAACAGACGGACAAGACCAACTATTTAACGCCAACTATACTAATACACATACATATAGTATATATGTATGTAAGCCGTTGTCATATCGAATGGAGTAAAAATACATGCTTACGAGTGTATTATGTCGTATGTCAATATCAGTGTATATATGTATGTATATACGCATGTATATATGTGCAAACGTACCTACATATTTAGATATGTATATAATA